GCCTGTCGGTGTTAGAATTGGTCTTTAGCAACTTTTGTCAAAGTATGCTTGTCTAAGAGGCGACTAAGGGGATCGGGTGGTCAGGCTCGCTGACTTGGTTGATGCATGTCATCGTATCCCGACGGCGAGTATCGATGTTCATAATATCAACGAGCACGAGAATAGTGCAACCCATGGATCATAATCGAAGTGAACCTTGAATTCGAAATCATAACCTGCGGATCCTGGCACGGCTACGTCATTTCATAATGCGCCTTTTATACAATCACCAGGTAAAAGCCCATGGCGTTACACTCAAAACGCCCGACATTTATTACCCAGACAACCGGTGTAGGTGAGGTGAGGTGAGGTGAAATGGTTTTTAACGTTGGGACTATTGCGCTTATAGCGACGTGCATATACCAGTGACCCGTGAAGATCCGGGGAAGAATAGGTCTTCAGCAACCCATGCTTGCCATAAAAGGCGACTATGCTTGTCGTAAAAGGCGACTAACGGGATCGGGTGGTCAGGCTCGGTGACTTCGTTGATACATGTCATCGTATCCTAATTGCGTGGATCGATGCTCATGATGTCAATCACTGGATTGTCTGGTCCAGACTCGATTATCTACAGACCGTCGTCATACAGCTGGAATATTGCTGAGTGCGACGTTAAACAAACAAACAAAACAAAGCATATACCAGTGTTTTCTGTTTGTACTTGACCGGACTAATGTCCGTTTTATTGTCCCACCCAGACACTGTATACTAACTCCGAGCCGACCAGTCCTTGTTTTAATCCCCTCAATGCCAAGGCAGGGTAACAACAAGTACAATCTTTAAACGTCTTTTGGTATAACGCTGCCAAACGATCGAAATACCGACCTACCGCTATCGAGGCAGACGCTCCATCCACTACACCACTGTCTTCCCGGACAACGGAACATTTTGCGTTCCAAATTGCATTATCAACTCCCTGGGGAGTACACAAGATATGGAGCTCATCAGCATAACATAATAAGAAAGCAAGAATAGAATCGATTATATATTTATTAGACGAGTATACAAATGTACAAAATATTATGCAATAATACAAGTATTATTATACAGAGAATATGTACAAATCGTTTGGAGGATTGAAAACAAATGTCTAAAACGGGTCCTTCATAATCTACTTTATAAATATCCCACGCGTGTTAGACATTATTACACATCATTCACATTACTCAAACACACAGGATTTCCACTGAAGGGAGACAACCCGTTTTAGACGCAGTGACTGCTATGTGAATATATCCGTTATTTCTTAGCTTTCTCCGATTGCCATTTTCTCGTACAATGTGAGTTTGCCGAACTCTATGGAAATAGACGTTTCCCTACAGCCACACTCAGGAAACGTCCGGAACAACGTGTTTGTATTGTTCATTGGTTACAACACATGGACCACACATGTGACACGTATAACTATGAATGTCTCAACAATACAAATGGAATTCTATTTACATACATAATTAATCAATCTCAGAAAAAAACAGTATGTACAAGGTAGATAATCAAGGGGGACAATAACGTTAAGTACGTACCATGCATGTTTACTGCATGTATTATATTATCCATGTCCGCTATATGTGTCCACATTAAGCAGGTTCGGTGAAACCTCGTTAATCCGGACAAAACCATTTCCAGTATATAGTCCGGATTAGTACATGTACGGATAAACGATCATCGGTGGTTGTAATGTTCCTTCATTGACATGTTGCGTAACGATAGTTGTCCGGATAAAAGAGTTTCTGGAATAACGAGATTTCACTGCATATCAACCAGTATATTTCTTTGATGTAGCGTATTTTGTAGTTAAAATATTATGACTTTATTACAGCTGAAGGTTTAGAAGGCAAATACTCGAAAATGAATAAATAATATTTATTTTATAGCAAATGTTTCAAAAGACATGGGGGCGGTGGTGAAGCCTGGTGGGCAAATCGTTCGCTCGTCACGCCGAACACCCGGGTTCGATTCCCGACATAGGTACAATGTGTGAACCCCACGTCTGGTGTCCCCCGCCGTGATATTGTTGGAATATTGCTAAAAGCGGCGTAAAACCATACTCACTCACTCTAGAAGACGGAGAGGAACATTATGCTTATTTTTAAAGGGAAATTGTGATTTTTAATTTTTATTTGAAATGATTTCATAAAGCTACAAGTTGAGAAACGCTTCAAAGACCAGATACATGTATATAAAATATACGTTTTCGGGAACACCCGGTGTCATCTCTGATTTTCAGTGATCCATTTACATAATTTTCACTACTATTTTGCCTTTTACGCCCCAAATAATCTGTTTCATCAGATAATCGAGACTGGTTACTCCCTGGCGTTGACGTTATATATAAGAACATATCGCGCTGGGCCATCCCACGCAGTGTCACACACCAAGAAATTACTGTAATTCACGCATGTTTCATAAATACATTTTAACTGTGCCTTTCCGGCTTAAATAGCCGGTAAATGGGGGCAGATTTTATATACACGTGGAATTAAACTTATTTTCAGACTTTATTAATTACAAATGACAAATATGCGCCCTTAGCGGATATTGCAAATACGTCATGATCACCCCACGATAAATTGTATCCACACCAAGAAGTGATTGAGGATATACAAATATCGGAACATCAGTCCAAGGGTTTTTGGTTTCTAATACGTTTAACTGACTATATAAATCACATCATTACGAACTCAACACCGTAACTGACGAATTATTATTATGTTGTACAGATTAAAATAAAAAATGCAGCAAAGAGGGTAGGGTGATGCTGGCAAAGTCAGGCTGGTTAGGCTCATATTATTATTATTATTATTATTATTATTATTATTATTTTCATCATCATAATTACTATTATCATTATTATTATTATTATTATTATTATTATTATTATTATTGATAAAGTCAAAAATAATTCTAAGATTCAAGAAAGTTATTTCATTGAAGCTCAATGGAGGTTAATTAATTCAAATAGCTCAGGAACTTTAGGTTCAAAGGAGTAAATTTCTAAAAGCAGAGGAACCCCACGCTTTAAAAGGACTATACAATAGCTATACAATAGTTACCTGTGAAAGGACACTCGAGTTCCATGGAATCATTTGGTTACGCGCGTATAGGGCATGAAGTAAACATAGCATGGCCCTGGATAGGGATCCTCATCACCTGGTGGTTGCTATGTAGAAAACTGAACACATTCACTTACAATAAACAACTATATACAATATTACATACGGAACCTACTCACAACTTTAGGGTGTAATCGTTTCTCGCTCAATCTCCTTAAAATCAGATCTTAGTGCTTCCTACCACTACACAAAGATCTGAGACCATCCCATTACGGGTCAGGTCAGAACGTCAGAACGCGAACTTTCACCAACAAAAAATATTACTAACGAGCGAGTGAGTGTTGTTTTACGCCGCATTTAGCAATATTCAAGCAAAATCACGGGACTCAAGAAATGGAAATGACTAACAAGAAGTCGACATTAGCCAATCAGAAAGCAGCTCTCTCGAGGTTTACGGCACTAGTTTCGTAGACTTCCGTTCCAGGTTATGCTTTGCGAATATTTGGAATGTTCTCGATTCAAAATTTGAACTGAACGAAAGAAAATTCTGGAATATCTAATAGATGGCCGAGACTTTATAATAGTACTTCCCACAGGCTAAGTCGTTTGAAATGTTTGTCCCATTGAAACAAGAAATAGGCGATGATTTTGATTGAATCAGTTGTACAGCACGCAACTGTCGTTCGGAATACCCCGTGTTAACCTTTTCGAGGTGGCATTCCAGAAAACACATTCCGACTGTCACTTTCTCGATCTGGTAAGAACGCTCTGATTGGTCGGATGAAAGGTCGTTCTGACGTGACCGGTAATAGGATGTCCTGAGATCTTTGTTTAGCGGTAGCGAAAACTAAGATCTGTTTTTAATGAGATTGTGTCTCGTTTGAAAACCAATTACACCCTAAATCTGGATAACTATACACATCGCTAATATTTACATATCAGTATGGCCTCATACGTTTGCATTTCATAAACTGTGACATGGAACAATTTGCAACAAAGAAAGAATCACATCTATGATGCATCGGGGCATACATTTGAAATACATTACAGTTCATTACAGAGTGTCGGTCGGCCTTTATCCATTAAGATTTGCCCGCTTTGCGAACATCCCAAACAGTGTTCAATTTTCACGAAACGTCCAAAATTTTGATTGACCCAACATCCCTTTGCCCCCATCCCTATCCCTGCTGACGGCTCCTAGAGTTTAATGACCTGTCACATGCATACATAGGTCCAATTCCTGGACTATACATCGACAACACACTGGTGTGGGTTGCAAAAAAACAAAAACAAAAAGACATTGTAGTTGCGTACGTCACTTAAGAGATAATTGACGACACATAGAAGTTCATCTTCCCGAGGCAAGAGAGTTAACTGACTATAAAAGTCCAGTTTCCACCCGTGCCGAACTAGGCTGGTATTATGGAGTTGCATGTGGGCTGGACAAACGAGTCTAAGCATAGTCCAATAAAAATTGCGCAACGAAATCGAAATCCGGTTCGTAAACTGTCGTGCCGATTTCGGTCGACTGCAGGATTTGCAAAGCATGTGCACCACCAACTCGTTGTCAGCAGATATTTTCCAAATCTTTTCATGTTTTTAATCAAGGTGCTCACGTGATTTGATGCATTTCGCGATGTAAGACAATTTAGATCTTGATTATTTATCAGATCGTCCTGAATTGGCGCCGCCGTTTTGTTTGAAACAAATGCAAGTGATACGAGAGGTGGAATCTGATTGGTCAAAATGAGAGGCTTAGACGGGACATAACTGGTAATAGCCACTGGTGGCACTACGATCGAGCCCAGGAATTCCAGCGTCGTTCAGCAAGGGTGAAAACTGGACTTTTAAAGTCAGTTAACTCCCTTGCCTCGGTAGGATGATAGAAGTTAATTCTTCATTATAACCGTTACTATTATTCATTAAGTCTTCAGTTTCCTTCGCCCCACATGATCTTTCAGCTACTTTGATGACACTATGACGTATCATGTCGGTCTCTCAAAGGCATCCCTTAGACGTTACTAGTCATCTGGCCCCCATCCCTACAACCAAACTGAACCAGTGACATTATTGATGCAGTATTAGACGATAGTAGTTGCTATAGGAAGGGAACTGTTTGTTATGAGTTTTGTTCTCTGTCTTTCTCTGATTTGAGTGAAGGAAGGAAGACTTTGACACATTGCACTGGGTTTTAGACACAATGTCCGAAAAAGAAACGTCACACCTTTATTCTCAGCGTAAGGATATGCCAATAGGGTTGTCTTTACTCGCAAGGATCCTGAACAGTCTGAAGTTCCTGTAGAATGATGGCTTGCTCTTTCGGTATTTCCTGATTTTCCTCTCCCTGTTACGTTTGGCCAACTTGTCTTCTCCCTGGTCATTCTGCGCCTTCTCCGATCTGTAACTCGTCTTCCTCACTCTCAGTTCAGCGTATGGTCCGGTGATGTTGTGCTTCCTCCCCCTTCGGCGCTTGCCCTTCCTCCCCTTCCTACCTTTCCTGTGCTTCCTCCTCAATTTATATTCCCTCTTCTTCATCTTCTTCTCCAGTTTCTGCTCATCCGTTTCTGTGTCCAGCTCAAAAGCTTCTCTAGCATCACTTGCCTTCATCTGTAGTGGTATTGGTGCAGGATGAGGAAGAACAGCCGGCTTCCTCAACGCTGGGTCAGCAGGAATGCTCACAATGGCGTTAGACGTTACGAGGGATTCTGACGACGCGTTGGCGTGGAGGCAGACACGTTTGCATTCTTCTTCGTTCCGGAAGTTGTTCATGTTGCCGTCGCAGCCGCCGTAGGTAAACCAGGAACACTTTCCGGCGTGGACGTTGAAGTACCATCTTCTGAAGCGGGCACCGCAAACTCCCGGTGCCGGTGCCAGCTCGCAGACCTTGGATTTCACTGAAATCAGACAAACGGTGACGTATAAGTTCAAATTTGTTCTTTTCATCTCGATTTTGTGTGGTTCTAATGGCGTGTGTTCTTCAACAGTGTTTACGAAGCATACTTGTGAATGTGTATGAGGTTGACGTCACGATCCAGAGTAGTGCGCTTAAATCAAGCGACGTTCATACACGTGTGTGAGTGTGGCTTTATGTACTAGACACATCACAGGGGAAACTCACAGGAATGGGTCTCAAATATTGTGTCCATGTGGGCCCCCGGCGTAATTAGCAAAAGCTACCACACCGTCCCGACGATACTCGAAGTGGTGTTTGTAATAGAATTGTGTATGTACCCAAATTATTACTTTGAGATGGTAATGTTGCGAACGATCCAGCAATGGTATGCTACTCCACATAATGAAAGTATCTAGAGGTGCCGGACTAAGCGTTAAAGTATATTTAACGCTTATGTCAACAGCGAATTTCGGGTTGAAGGAAATAATATCAGATCATGTTGAATCAGTTGACGACCCGATATTCGTTAACCACCAATAGCGTCTATCAGATCTGGAACCAACTGGAACAGTGTTACGGTATAAAAGTGTATGGATGTATCTACCTTCGATCTTCTGTTCATGGACGCAGACAGGGAAGGACATCTTCCTGGGCCAGACCAAGTGTTGGATGACGCAGATCTTGGAGAGCGGACACACTTTCTTGTAGGCCTGTAGCAGGATGAGTGTACTGGGTGAGTGGTACATATCAACAGGTTTATTCGTTCCGTCATTTATTCGTTCATCCATTCATTCATTCATTCATTCATTCATTCGTTCGTTCATTCATTCATCCTTTCGTTCATCCATTCATTCATTCGTTCGTTTATTCATTCCCTCATTTATTCGTTCATCCATTCATTCATTCATTCATTTATTCGTTCATCCATTCATTCATTCGCTTGTTCATCCATTCATTCGTTCGTTCATTCATCCATTCATTCATTCGCTCATTTATTCGTTCATCCATTCATTCATTCGTCAATTAATTCGTTCATCCATGCATTCGTTTGTTCGTTCGTTCTTTCATTCATTCATCCGTTCGTTCATTAATATGGTTCTAAACCGCTTTCAGCCATATTCCGGCAATATCACGGCAGAAATGGGTTTTACATATTTTAGCTATGAATGGATTTGAACCCGGGCTTCGGTTTGACGAGCAAACGCGTTACCTCTTTGCCACCACACCGCTCAGAATCAATCAAGCAATCGATGAATCAGCAATCAAATACATTTTCAATATTAAATAACGTGTACATTTGCTGCCACCAAATCTCTGTTTGGTAAAATACTGTTTTATATTCAGTAAGCAACTTATCTTTTTATTGGATCTTTTTATCCCGTGTTCCTAGTGGAAATAAAATTTATTCATTTTTTCAATGGTTTGTCCCGTATAAAAGTATTCACTTGTTTGGTAATGTTTGTACAGGAACATGGAGACAAGCAAGCCCAGATGCGAGATACTCACTTTACATAGCCTCTCAGCCTCCACTCCGTAAGAGAACTTCTTCGTTCCAGGATCAAGGGTCATACTGTTGACCTGCGAGTAGATTGACATGTCAAATTTAAAATCTTGCAGAAATCAGAATCGACACAAAACAAAATTAAATGATTTCTATATGTCTATATCATTGATCAACGTAAATGTGATAAAAGGATAAAAGTTTAAATATATTTTATTTATTTATTTATTTATTTATTTATTTATTTATTTATTATTTCATTTTATTTTACTTTATTTTTTTATTTGGGGGGGGGGGGGGGGGGGGGGCTCATTCATGATTCTCGAATGTAATGAAAATGCATTCCTCTCATTCCTTATTTATGATTTCCATTGTCTTGTTTCGATCAAACAACCTCTACCAAAGACAGCACCAATGGAATTGTTGGTACAAGAGTTAGAGATGACCTCACAGCCATATCGCTTTAATCGCATTCAGTCCGACAGCATGAATCTGTGATCTCATACTCTCGGAATCCTTGAGGTCATCCTAACATGTGGAAATACCGCAGGGGTTATGATATCACGATTTCCTCTTGTTTCACAATCGTGGAAGCATTTGCGGGTAATTAAGATAACAATGCGATACCGACAATGCACGCAAGGCACTGAGGGGTATGAGGTACCCCACGTAGTCCAACAAGGCCACGTGGCACCACGTGAGTCTCGGAAGGTTACATCGTTGTTGTCTAGATACATACAATGTTTCCCTAGATACCAGCATTGTGTTGGCAACGGAAAATACAAAGACTGATTAATGCGTTTCTCCATGTATTGTCATATATGGTAGGACGTTTCTTGACCAGGAAATCTTAAATATGTGAGTGAGTATGGTTTTACGCCGCTTTTAGCAATATACCATAGCCTAGTGGTTAAAACGTTCGCTCGTCACGCCGAACACCCGGGTTCGATTCCCGACATGGGTACAATGTGTGAAGCCCATTTCTGGTGTCCCCCGCCGTGATATTGCTGGAATATTGCTAAAAGCGGCGTAAAACACTAGTCACTCACTCCATATTCACAAGACATTACTGCTAAAAGCAGAGTCGATTGAACGATTCCGACTACACCTATTTAGCATATACAGTAGTCCTTTTCATAATCGTATCTTGTATCACCTTTCTGACGAAACAGTTGCAAGGACGGCAATAATGTTTCCTAAGGTTATATGGAAGCTAAGGCTATATGAAAACAAAGAAACAAAGGAGTGATGTTCCAGTGTGTGTGTGGCTGCTTGTACCAGTCCGGACTGATGCCGATTTATAGTGCTAGCCCACTGAGATACCATGCCGCAGTTTAACATGAATACCCCACTCAGACACAGTATACTGACTCCGAGCCGACCAGTCCTTGTTTTAGCCCCTTAATGCCGAGCGCCAGGCAGGGTAACACCAATTACCATCTTTTAACGTCTTTTGGTTAGCGCGGGTGGGGATCGAACCCCCAACCTTCCGCTCTCCGGGCGGACGCTCTACCACTAGACCACGGACGCGGTCTTCTGTCAAAAGACTACAACAGCCTATGTCACAAACAGATACCCATACATTCCTTCCTTCATTCAGACTTTGCACATCTGCCCTGAGCTGCATATAGACTTGTTTGTGAGGTGCATCAATTGCACTGCTAACGCAAGGCCACGCCAGACATGTCTTGCTGGGATCACACGTTGCGAAATGTCATTACAACTTAAAGTACATCCGAGTCTTTGCACAGCCCTGCTAACATCACACTGGTGTGTTAAAGGAACGTAAAAGTTACACCCTAAATGATCTGTACACCATAGGCTTGTTAAGTTGTTATCAATTACGTTTATTGTTCTTTTTATTGTTTACGTACAAACATGATGAAATACAAAAAAAAACACATGAGTACAACACGCGTATATTTTTGTTCATTTCATGGTTTCGTATCGTCCAATCTCGTGAAGATCCGGGGTAGAATGGGACTTCAGAAACCCATTCTTGTCGTAAGAGGCGACTAACGGGATCGGGTGGTCAGGCTCGCTGACTTGGTTGATGCATGTCATCGTGTCATCGTGATGCATGTCAACAAAATTGGCTGGTTCGATGCTCATGATATCAATCACTGGATTGTCTGGTCCAGACTTGATTATTTACTGACCGCCGTCATATAGCTGGAATACTGAGTGCGGCGTTAAACAACAAACAAACAAGTAGCATCCAATCTCAGTAACCAAATGCTTGTTTACATGACGCCATACGCATGTTACGTCAGAAGGCCTACAGAGATTATCTATCTGTCATGCATACTAATGTCGCGAACGGACATGTGTTAAAGGGGTATGGTGGTAGCCTAGTGGTTTAAGTGTGTGTTCGTCACAAGACCGGGTTCGATTCACAATACCCATTCCTGGTGTTCCTCGCTGTTGTGTAGCTGAATTGTGGCTAAAACTATTGCAAAACCCAACTCACCCAGAATGCTCAAGAAAAAAAGAGGATATAAAAAAAACTTAATTCTTTAAAAAAAAAATCCTTTTTAGACGCAGACAATCTATTTATAAATTATTTCAGGGTCTCATCCTTCATGTAGTGATGCGGGGCGGTCGGGTAACCTAGTGGTTAAAGCGTTCGCTCGTCACGCCGAAGACCCGGGTTCGATTCCCGACATGGGTACAATGTGTGAAGCCAATTTCTGGTGTCCCCCGCCGTGGTTTTAGTGGTATACTGCTAAAAGCGGCATAAAACCATACTCACTCACTCATGTAGAGATGCAGTACAGGGGTTTTAATCAGTCTTAACCAAATACATATACCAATTCCAACAAAGGAGAGCAATAAAACCCCACCCTTGGTTCCCCGCCCCCTCCTGTGCCAGCTACATTCTGCACCGGATGACCTCCTATACTGTTATATCACCCCTCCCCTCCTTCAGAGATAGCACGTGTAGGGTATTTATATACTCAAGGTCAAGTAGATTAACATTTCACTCTTCCTTATCGTGTGATATTAACACTTAAACGACAGGAGAAAAAATACAAATGTGTAATATGTGTTTGCCCTTCTTTATTACATGTGTTTTGCTGAGGGTTAATGTCACTGATTTGGGTGAGGTGTGATAAGGTATGATTAAACAGCTTGGGACGCTTTTTATAGCACATTCTTAAGATTCTGACTGACATTATAATTATAAAATGTCAAGGCAAGAGAATAACTACTCCTGATTATCGAACGAAACAGATTCATTTTGGGGTAAAAGTGCAAAATAGCTCTGTAAATTATATAAACGGGGAACTGAAAATCGGTTATTGTGACACCAGGTTTTTGCGAAACGCAGTATTAGGATGTTAACGTTTAAGGCATAGCCAAAGATGAGCAAGATTGAGCATTGTCATACACTCCAGCCTCAAGGATCTGCGTTGGGATTTCGGGTTTGGAACAATTTACATTTCCAAATTTGACGCATCAGTGACAGAATGAGTGTTCTTTAGATATATGACTTGCCTTTGCATGTGTTTGTGACGGATGCACCGGTGGGGGCAGGTCGCGAACACCTGGTATCGTTACTATTTGATAGTAATTCATAAACACATGCTGATGGCATAGTCGGAATTGTGCAATGGACTGGTTATAGCAGAGATGTCTTAGGATTGTGGAAGAGTTTTGTCGGTTTTAGTTTATTGGCTTTGTCCCCTGTAACATATGTTGGTCGTGAAATACAAGTGTCTGGATCCAGTTGTTAGGGACTACGTGTATTACGTCCCATCGTGGGGGCACGGGTGGCCTAGTCGTCTAAGGCGCCGCGATTCACTGTGCAGAGTTTCGTTCCTTTGACACGCCAGAAACCTATGATTGTGGGTTCGAATCCCGGTTCGCCCCAATTATGTTTCTAGGTTTGTCGGCGCCATAGCCGTGCTCGTGTGTTTCACCGAAGTGGTAAACGTCTAAGACCTGCATCACTTCGGGCTTTCCTCCCACATTAAGCTGACACGCAGTGATATAACTGGAATACTGTTAAAATCGGCGTTAAACCCAACTCACTCACTAACTCACACGTGCCATCGTGACCACGCCGTGTGGGACGGTGCTCATGGTATCAGTCACTGGTTTGTCTGGACTAGAATATTTAAAGGGCCGCGACGAAACAGCTGGCAGCACCGTTAAACGACACACATACAAACAAACAATGTTAACCTCAGAGACTGATTGGTTCGCAAAGAACTTAACACATCAACTACAAGTGCCTCAACAAATATTAAGCATAATCTAGCATTCGCGTCAAAGTAAGCTTAAAGGAGTGTTTTGATGACGTTCCATCCAAGGCTAATGAGGGTGGATTTAGCAGCGTGCAAGGCTTTAGCGGGTACGGGATACTATGTTCTTATCTGTGCACAGCTCCTGTTTGAAAAGGATGGTGCAGTGTCAGTCTCATGCAAGGTTGTGTGAATGGACTCAAGGGGGCTCTAGAAGAATTCCTCATTCCGCAAGAGTCGCGCACCTATCTCGCCATACTCGCTGTAAACATGGGTAAACAGCATGCGAAAAGGTGCACCTTTTTTCATATGTTAAAGTGCGAATTCTGGGACACGTAAATATTTTCGTATGGAAGAGCGTACCTGGTTGCATTCAATTGCGGTTTCTTTGATACCTGACAGGAACCTCTGCTATGACAAATATTTTGAACTTTAACTTTCGTTAATGGCGTGTTTAAACCTGCTTGACATAACAGCTACATCTGTTATATACTGGGAACTCGTAGATTTAATATATATAAAATAATTGTGCCTTTGACATCAAAATATCAGGTTGGTTCAGGGTCGGCGTGGAGCTGATTAAAATGTCAAATCTTTGGCCATAATCGCATTTGTCTCAAGAATGAGTAAGATGGATTTTACGCCGCTTTAGCAAAATGCCACTTCCACGACGGGGACACCAGAAAAGGGACTCACATGTTGTATCCCCGTGGGAATCGAACCCGGGCCATTAGCGGGACGAGCGAACGCTTTAACCACTAGACCAACCACCGCCCGAGCACCCTTAAAAAAAGTTTCATCACTATATTTTGACTAGTGTCCTCTGTGAA